GAACAAAGAGGAAGAGGAAGATGAGGAGGAAGAGGCTCTCCAGCCCCCAAAGAAGAGGAAGAAGTAAAACAAAGAGTAGGATCAGTGTCGTAGTTATAACATCCTATGTTAGTCTATCTCTCTCTCTCTCTCTCTCTAACCTCTACCTTATCATGTTATAGATGACAGGAGAACATTGTTGAGGGTGGATAATTTACTTTCTTTGGGTAATCATCATCTTTTTTAATGCTTGTTTTCAGAGACATGGCAATGAGCCGATTGAAAGCATACTGACATTTTGCTCTGGCCATTTCAATTCGGAATCCTTTAAATTGTCCATGGATAACTGATGATGATAAATCATGATCTCTTTCATGTTATTGCATTATTCACATGCTATGCATGTGTGCAATCAAGTATTAACCATATATGTTATATGATATTCGGATTTTATTTTTGGATTCAATTATTATATCGGAAAAACTCAACCAATCAACCGGTTATCTTAGAAGGGTAACCAATCAGCTGTTATTTATCAAGATTCTAGGAGAGGGGGTTTGATTGCTCTTTGCTCAAAACCCTTCCAATATCATGCCTTTCGAGCAGTATGCATTTTTCGCTTTTACATTTAGTACCGACTTTATATAATATATTGATGCAGTGGTTGATTCCAAAGTGGCTTGAGTTGAGCCTAATTACAAATTCCATTTGCATCCTCTTTCAGCGCTTGTTTGGCATCATTGCCGTTGCTCCAAAAAATGGTGCCACATCAGTGCCACATTGGAAAAAACGGTGCTCCAGGAAATATGCATGTGTTTGGAACCGCTTTTCTATTAAAAACGGTGCTCCAAGCCATGCCTTGAAAATCAGGAAGGCATGGCTTGGAGCAACGCCAAATTTGACGTTTCCTAGAGCTGCAGCTCATTGCGGCCAACAGGGATGTGAGGTGGCAGTGATGTGGCACTGGATAATGGGTACCAATGCTGAAAACGTTTCCTGGAGAATTGGTACCAAAAAGAAAAAGTTGTTGCTCCAGGAAACGTCCTATCTGGCAGCAATGGTTCCAAACAAAAAAAAAGACATTGTTTTTTCCGAAAACGGTGCTTCCAACCCACACATCAGCAGCACTGTTTTCTGCTGCTTCTGCAGCATCGATGCCAAACATATAATCAACAAACAACAAGATGTAACAAGAATCCTGTTTATTCTATTAAGCCATTACTCGGTAATTTTCACTGCCTCTACCTTTTGGCCTTTGGTTACACAGTCATGGAGCGAAGGGGTCCAATCTAAAACCAATTTGGACAGATTGAACGGACTAATAAGACAATGGATTGGACCAGTCCAGACTTGATGGTCAAAAATATTTATTGGATCCATCCAATCCAAAATCAATTTGGAAAAATTGAATGGACCAACAAGACATATTGGCTGGACCAGTCCAGACTTAATGGCTGGAGTCCCATGCTTTCCGAGTGTGTCAAGACTTTTTTTATAGAAACAAAAGGTGCTACACAAGATGGGGGGTAGCACACCCCACAAAACCACCAAAACAAATAGAAGCTAAATCACTAGGAAGGGTATAAAGATTGAGAGAAACAACACCACTAGATAAAGAATGAGCCTTATTCTCCAACCAGTCTCCACTTGGTTTGCCTCCTCATACATGTGCCTGTAGCAAATTCTACCTTCCAAGGAGGATGGATCAGACCTTTGAGACATTTTATAACCAGATTAGAATCCCCCTCAATAGTAGTTGAAAACTTGCTGAAATTCATAGCCAAATTTTTAACTTCTCAAGCCACCCATGCCTCTGCAGCAGTACTAGAAGAATAACCCAAGTTATAAGCTTTATAACCCAAAACCTTGTCCAAATGGTTTCTTGCAATAGCTGCAACAGTACAGGAGACATTTCTAGTGTAAGATGCATCAAAGTTAATTTTTATTTCACCCAAATTCGGGAGAACCGAGGAAACATTTACATTTTTTATTTTCTAAACATCTTTATTATTGTTTGAATCCTCATTAACTAGCCAAAACTCATGAAGAGATTTAAAGGCCCTGTCGAAAATAATTTGAGGGGGTCCTTATTGTTGGAAGGTTTTGATTCCTATTCTTTCAAATAAACCAAAGGATGAGGAGAATATCGAAAAGCAGTCTCTTGTCTGCATGTGACTTGTAAGAATCTTGGATAATATTTAGAGTTCTATTGCCCGAATTACAATTGAACGACGCAATCCAAGCACATGGGGCATTTACATCTGAAAAATACACACTCGGAAATGGAAGCAGAAATGGTTCTTGAAATTCACATTGACAAGGTCAACGGAATACAATTAATCAAGGTCTTACAACAAATTCCCGACTTTCCCTCACAAGACTATTTGGCACTCGACCTCTCTCGACTGCTTCACATCTGTACAACGTAATGTCATGCAAGTCTAACATCAATACATCTAACCATCTCGTCCCACCAGTTGAAGCAGTACTAATGCCGCTTAGTTTTGCAAGTAGTCTAACCTCAATAACACCTTAACCAAAAGTTGAGAGAACCACCAACTTTATCCAAAACTAGTTGTCTCTTCATGTCGGGCAATTTAGGTCCAGAACGAAATCATAGTATAGCTTCTTAACAAAGAGCGCACTCTTGCTCTTCCTCATTCCGTGATTCTATGAAGCAATAGAAGGCAACAAAAGCTCAGAGAAAAGAAAATGGTTTAGGTCCGCGTGCAAGACAATTTTGATCCAAGCACTGTTTTATTTTCCTCTTCTGATTGGTTCAAACTTCAAAGTTTCAACACGCTGAATTTCAAGCGTGTATTCTTAAAACTGCTACCTCCGAGACTCGATCAAAAAAATACTCCACTCAAAACAATGATACAAAGAATGAATATTCGGCTTTGGAAGAAAACCAGCACGAATCGTAATACTTAACGGCTCTTGACTTGCAGCGAAGAAAATTCTTAAAACTACTACCTCCGAGACTCGACGAAAAAAATACTCCGTTCAAAAGTTGGGAATATACATTCAAATTCCAAAAAGAAAGAAATCACCTGCCTAACAGACCATCAATCAACAAAGAAATCACCTGACTTCAACCACAACATAGAAAATCCCCAAAACCAACTGAAAGTCCAGAAAGAATATCACTCAATACCTAAGAGAGAATAAGCTCTGGAAACTATCTTGGACCATCCAGTTCCAAATAGCTCTTATGTATGCTAGCGCTAGGGCAGGCAGACACCTCAACTAACATATGTTCTCAAAACCTGCTTTAAACAGTTACTCCATCTTGAATTCTTAAGAGAATCGTCATATATGTAGATAAGAAACAATGAAACCCCATTCAAAAAGGCATGCTGCAAGGAACAAAATATAATAAGCCTCGCACAGGTGTTTACCTACCTAACACTTAGGGGAAAGCCTATAAAAAAAACCCAACACTTAGGGGAAAGCCTATAAAAAAAACCTAACACCTAAGGAAAACGATGGTTACCCATCAGCTAGGAGATGAGGGAAGGAATGCCTGAGAGTTCCAACTTCAACTTGGATGGAACGATCAAACCCCCACACCACGATTCCTCAGAAGTAAAATGCATCCATAATTAACAGTGGGCATGGCTTTAAATAGAACAAATTGGAAAAACACAACTCATGTAACCGACAAGGTTCAAAGTATCAACACAGGCCGATACATCAGTAGGGCATATCAGCCTGTATTGGTGATTTTTTTATGTTTTATTTATTCTTTTTCAAAACCTGTTCAGAGAGGTCAGTTTAAATCCCAATTACCCTCTGAACCATGTCCTGACCTGATACAACCCCTGTAGGGGCGTATCGGGAAGCCATCGGCACAACACGTATTGGCCGATACATGTCAATACTTTGAACTTGTGGCCGACCGCATATGGCATGGATGATGATGATGATGATGTCATCATATTTTTCATACTTGAAATCACATCAATAAACATTATATACAATACAGTACCAGCATCAGTAAGAGCGGAAGGAATTGAACCATGAGTTGAAACCATTTGTTGGCCATGTCACATAAGGCTATGACCATAGTTTAAAAAACCAAACCAGACCAGCCGGTCAAACAGGTTGAACCATGACCTGGGCCCCTAGCCAATTCAGTCATATCCTGAAAACCATAATACATAAAACACCGGCTGACCAGTCAGTTTAATCAGCAAACCAGTGAATCGTCCCAGTTTTATAAACCCACCCAGGTTACAACATGAATAGAAATTTCAAAAAGGTAATAGTAAGACTTGAACAAGACCTCTTATGTGTATTGCCTTGTTACTATTAATCCTTCCCTTTATTTGTGCTCATTTATGCATCTTTAATTTTTATATTGCTTTAATACCCAGGTATTTCGAAGAAAATGTGAGCTAGAGGGCTTGAAACCTGGTCATATCTGAACATTGGCTATGCCACTAACCATAGCCAAGATTGCTGAGTGTTGAAATGGTAAGAGAGTGCTTGAATAGGTAAAAGTCGTAAAGATAGTAAAAAACTGAAAATGTATGGTTAGATCCATATGTTTGACCCAGATAATACCAAAAGGAAAAAAAGAAGAGAACGCATTGAAATGAGGATGACATCCACTGCGTTCTGATCCTCAGAAGGCAACTGAAAACTTACAGAATTCTTTTATGGTGTTAGAATTATTTAATTCTGCTGAATATAATAAGATACATAAATATAAAAATACATGAAAGTTCTATAAATATTGAAACCAAATGTTATGCAGAAATGAAAAGCATGATCCTGAAAAATTAAGATTCAACAATGTATGGAAGGAGATTTACATCTCAAATATATAATTGAGATGGAAAATGTGAAAATTTCTAAGAATGTAAAAGAAACTAATACTCAAATAAAATATTGTGAAGCTTGCAAAAACATAATTATGTTGATCAACAAACCTATATTAAAACATGATTCTGAGTATTAAGAGAATAACAACATGAAACCAAATAAAAACGAAAAACAAATAAAACAATATCAAATTAGAAAGACAAAAATAGACATCCTTAAACGATAAGCACCACCAAAAAGTCTATAAAAAGAAGGAAAATAATGAAAGCATAAAAGTTTAACCCCAACTGGGCAAAGGATAAAAGAAAATGTAAGTACAAAATAAGTATTGCAGAAAGTATGTGGACAAGCTGTCAAAGATAAACTTAAAGATCAAAAACATAAGATAGAAGGACAAAAAACTGTTAACAGGTTTCTTGACCTTGGCTAAAGCATAGAATGATAGGTTACAAGAAAACAACCAATACTTGGTCTTGGTGTTTCTTTCCCATCAATAAAGCTTCCATACCCAAGAGACAGAGAACCAAAATGTGTGCTCTTTCTTAATATGCCCCAACATTGCAACAAAACCGTCCATCTTAGCTCAGCTGCATTTCATCTGCAAACAAGGAGCCCAAGCATGTCAAGGGTGGCAACAAACAAAATTGGAGAGGGGCCTCTAATTAAGTGGTGAAATTTGAGAAAGATCATTGAAAGATTGCTTCTACTTGAGACAACTAAAAGAAAAAAGAGGGTTCATTGCAAAAGCAACAAAAGGATTCACATTATAAGCATAGAAATAAAGATTTGAGTTCACTATAAAAAGAATATGTTTGAATTTTTCTACAGAACGCAGGTTGCAAACATGATATTATTATACAACTTATAGAGATATTGAATACTAAAGTTGAACATACTTGGGAGCACCAGGAGAAAGTGGGTTTTGTCACTAAATATGGCACACACGGACAATTTTTGCACATAATAAGATCAGTATTAAAAGTGGTAAAAGATAAATTAATTAATCATCTCTCTTTCTGTTAGCTCAAGTCATTGCATCAAATGATGGATTTCAGTCTTAAAATAAATCAAGATAAACAAGTTTAAAAACCCTTTTTTGTGTGTAAAAAGAAATTCAAGTCACTAAACAGCAAAACACAACAGGACAGAACAGGACACAAACCAAAAGACAGAACTACTTAAACCCTCATCTGAGACTCAGACATCGTATAATAGTACATTTAGTAATCAATAGCCCCCAAAATACTCCTGGTGTAAACTAAAACCTTTTCTGGCTTAGAAACCCTGAGCAAAATATCTTGTAAAAAGAACAGAATCTCTTTATTGCAGGGTCTTTCCTTCTGCAAACAGCTAATCAGATCATGATTATCAGATTCCAGCACAAAATGATGAATACCCAAACATTCAGCCAGCTTCAGACCTTGTAAAATGGCTATTGCTTCAGCCTCTAAGGTTGAACTAGCAGTTGAGGCTCCACAACAACCAAAAATAAAAGCAGCATTGCCATCTCTCACAACGACATTGTAAGAGGCAATGCCTGGCCAAGCTTACAAACCCAGGGGGCTTCCAAGTCAAATGCTTCTAGCATGACTACAAGAAAGTAGAGGATCTGCAACACTACAGATTCATTATCACATAGCACGAGAAGAGGAATCAATCATCTTCCCTTTGCACAGATTAGCCTTGACAGGGAGGGCATTCCAGCAGGCCTTGCAAATAAAACTCTTTACCTAAGGAACATTCTCAAGGCTCCAAATGGCAGCTCACTGTTGATTTTCAAGTGGGCATCTGCTTCCACACCCATGATTGGGCTGACTAGAAGAGTTCATGATGCAGCCACATGGTAAGAAGACTTAACACTGAATATGCCTTTGGGGGTCATAGGCCCAGACTATGATCAGCCCACCTATTTTCAGCCAATCTTATTTTTAGAATTTCCTTGGTTGTTAAGGGTCAAAGAACCTGTAATTATCAAAAAAAAGGTCAAAGAACCTGCAAAGGATGTCAGTGTTCCAAGATCTGTTGACATTACAAATAAGCTCAAAAAGAGGGTGGGAAGACTCAGAGCAGGCCCCATAAGCCTGAAGCCAGGGATAGATGGGATTCAAGGGGTCCCTCCAAAATCCAAATGTTCACTGAATCACCTACATTTACAGCCCCAATAGATCCATTTTAGCATCACTTCCCTCCCTTCTAGCAACTCCTTCAACCCCAGGACCCTTCTTAGATAAGCTGCCTCCAACAGGTTGTACCTCACAGTACAGACCCTCCAAAATAGTTTAGCAAGTATGACCAGATTGAATATATAGAGATCTTGAAAGCCTAGACCCCCATCCAGTTTGTTCTAAGAGACCTTATCCAAACTGACCCAAGCCATTGTCTTTCTTGATTGACCAGATCCCCACCAAAACTCTCTCTCCATTTTACTCACTTGATCACACTCTGCTCTACTCTATCAATGATAAAACTGAACAGGTCTTTCTTAGATATACCAAAGAGGAGAGACCTAGATACTTACTGGATTTGAGGATAAGTCACACATTGCAAAACCTAACTAAGAAGAAGAAACCCACTCCACCCTGTCATAAGCCTTGGACATATCATGTTCGATAGCCATCCATCGATTCTTGTGTAAGTCAGGCGGGCAGGGTGAGGTTTAAGGTCAACCCAAGCCCATCACAACACCCAAGCCCAAACCAGGCCCGAGGTCAAGCTTGATCTTTCCAACCCATGCCTAGACTGAACTGAAAATTGGCATCCTTAGGTTGAGCCCAAGACAGACTCGGGTTGGTCAATTGGGCTCAAGTGGACCCATTAAGCCCAATGCATTAAAATGTTGCATGAAGTGATGGACCTATTTATTATCACTAATTTAAACATTTAAATAAGAACTTACATATTTTGCATACAAGCATGCATGCATATATGTTTCAACATATATATGTATGCATGTGTATAGTTAAGTCAGGTTGGGTTCGGACCAAGCTTAAGTTACCTAAGGGCTAACTGGCTAGGTCCGAGAACAACCCAAAAATAGAAAATCCTAAGGTTTGGGGCCCAAGCTCAGCCTGAGGACCGAAAATCCAAGCCCAGCCCATGCAAGAATGCATACTAGGTTGGTCTAGGCTTGAGTTATGCCAACCCAAGTTGCACCCCTAAAATAAACTTGGGATTCTTCACTTTAAGGATTAGTATAATAGAGGTGTTTATTTCTTTGAGCATTTCACCTTCCTTAGGCCATCTCAAGTTCTTTCACTAAGTTCCTCGATAAAAGAACCTCTAATTGTTTTCTCATCATCCTTGTTCTCAATAAAAGAACCTCTATCTTTCAGCTTTCCTAAGGATTGTATCTTTTTGAGATTTTTTGCAACCCTGAACTTTTTTCATGCTGCCAATAGTCCTAAATAGAGCCAAGCCACCTTTACAGGCTAATGGTCCGTTTGATTTGCCAAGAAAGAATGGGGTGAGAAAGGAAAATTTTTTCTCAATTTTGCATTCTCCATGTGGTTGTTGAGACCAAAATTTTGAAAAAATTCATATTCCAATGTTGACCCCCAAGGAACCATCCCCTAGCTGAGCCAAAAATAAACAACAAAGCAAGATTACAAATCCCACAAGCTACTAGGTCTCAGCAAAATGGCTAGGCTATGTTGGTGAAGACCCTTAATAGCTGAGACCTAGGACACCAACTTCCCAAAAGAAAAAGAAACAAGCTCCTCCACATCCTTTGAGGTTTGATGGAAAATTCTTCTATTTTTTTCAGCCCAAATAGTAATTAATACAACAGATGGAACTGAAGCCCAAACACAACAAGCAAGCTTAGAGAGGCCTTGAAGAATCCAACCCCACAAGAGGTCCATAAGCATAACAGTCCTTGGAAAATCCCAAGCCATCCCCAATGTAGAAGGGTAGTGCCACCAGTTGCGGGAGGTAATAAGGCAATCAATGAAAAGATGATTAGCATTCTCAGACACCTGCACACAAAGCGCACAACTCTGTATCTTGGATCTGCACTCCCAATGTAGAAAACTCACAAGAGGTCCATAACAGTCCCTGGAAAAACCCAAGCAACCCCCAATGTAGAAAGGTAGTGCCACCAGATGCGGGAGGTAATAGGGATGAAAAGATGATCAGCATCCTCAGACACCTGCACACAAAGCGCACAACTCTGATCTTGTATCTGTACTCCCTTCTGATCAGAATTGCCTTAGGAAGTAGGATTCCAGATCTTTAAAAGGGTTTGACAGAGAAGAGCCCATCCGTAGGCCAAATCCATCTCCAACTATCCTTTGAACTAGTATCCACCTCCTTACCCGTGAGTAGAACTGTTCATGGGCCAAGTAGCATGATGGGCTGGCCAGGCACAGGCCATTCTAAATCAGGCTTGGACAAAGTTTTAAACCCGTGGGCTCAGGCTCAGGCTCAGGCTCAAGCTCTAAACATCACCCCAACCGGACATCCGAGCACAAAGGTATGGCCTCCGGAAGTTTGCATACACATTTAGTGTGCAACCCATGACCCAGTCACAGGGTTGACTCAACCATCCAACTGCTCGGATCATACATTTTTGACCTGGTCAATGGTTTTTGACCAATTTCCAGATCTTACTATAATCGGATCTGGAATCATGGTGGGTGATGGTCCAAACGGTTCAACTGATCATGTCAGCAACAGGTTGGAAACACTGGCTATTAGACCTCTCTCTCCCTCTCCCTCTCCCTCTCCCTCTCTCTCTCTCCAAAGCTAGTTGCCAAGTAAAACTGGTTGAACACCTTTACCCTCCTAACCCCCAGACCTTCCTGCTCCAGAGGAGAGCAAATTTGATCCCAGCTTACCAAGTGAATCTTTTTTCCCTCCTCAAGGAGTGGTCATTTTAAACATCTGTGTTACACCAACTTCCTTTCTTCAAGAACATCATTCTTCGAATATCTGTGGGGAGACTACCTTGGAACCTACAAAATTGATATATGGCTTCTTCATATGTGTTGTAGGCGTAACCTTTAAATTTAATTCAAACCATGTTTATCAAACAAGTTCATCCAATAGATTTGAACATTCAATTCTTCCATTCACAGCATGTTCAAATCACTTGCTCATTCAATCCACTCAAAATTGATTCAATTAATCCATTTTGGTCCTACTTAATTTCATCCATTCATCTAATAAATTATAGACCTGTTCAAATAATTTATTGGGAACCTGTAAATCCAATAGAATAAAAACCTGTGAATCCAAGAGATTAATACTTGTTCAATCCAACCATTTAACCATTCAAGCCATGATCAATTCATTCGTTCATGGAAGTTATGTAAACCTGTTCAAATTATTCATTCATCTATTGAAACCCTATGAATCCAATAGATTAATAACTTGTGAATCCACAAGATTAAAACCTGTGCAAATTATTCATGCATCCATCAAATACATGTCCAATTCATTCATCCAACCAACACAAATATGTTCAAATCATTCATTCATTCATTGCAAACCTGTTCACCTCATTCATTCAACCAACACAAATATGTTTAACATTCATTCATCCATTCAACATCCAAAGTATGCAACCATGTTCAAGCATCAATTCATCAAAAAACAAGTTAGAGAACCTACTAAAGTCTATTAAGTCTTAAATCTAGCCAATTTCGTATCCAACCTACTAAAACCATGGTCAAACATCCAGCAAATGTTATTCAAAATGGATTCAAAAGAAAATTTAAGTAGAGTAAAATGAGGCCAACTTCATATCCAACCACTCCTTTTCAGCTATGGTGCAGGTCATCCCCTTGCACACCCAGATATTGCACGGCCAATGACCTTTAAATTTCGGTTTTCTCCCTTACAACTCCATTGTTAGGCTTCTGGTTGAATCGTGTTTCTCTTCTCCCGCTTTCTTCAGTCCATACAATTCTTCCTCCTTGTAGGTATATCTTGTAATATAACACCTATATTATCCTCCTCCTACAACATCTGTTTCTTTTCCTTCCAAAATCCTAGTCTTCCCTTCCCAAATGGGCTCAGCCCATTTAAGCTCGCGTTAATGTTCAGCCCACCCCAAATCCACCCTTTTCAAACACAATTCTCTTATGTTTTATAATTACACTTTGGTCCCTTTCTTGGCCCGACCCTATCTTTCTTAACTGACCTTTAACTGATAAAGTAGGCCCATCCGAAGCCACCTTTTTGCATCTGAGAAGGAATTATGCCACCAAAGAAAGTGTTGAAATTACTTTTCAGCTCTCACTTAATAATAGCCAACCCATTAACTGGAGATGGAGTTGTTCTTTAATGAACAAGAACAACTCCACTCTACAACAGTCACAGATTTTACCAACAGAAAAAAGACAAAGGAGATAAAAGGCCTGCAGGAAATATAAAACTTCCCAAATAGGTCATAACAACCATGACCCCATCCAGAAAGCATGATTCACATGAGTCATTCTCCATGAGTTTAGTAAACTTCATATAAATGTACCAGCACGTATTAAACATCAACGAAAAATATTACCATAAAAGGACAAATGGTTGCATATATTAGACTTAAAGCAATGTGTTCGTATATTTATATATTACAAGTAAAATACTAACAAAAAACATATATTACAGGTAAAAGAGTTGAAACAAAATAATTAGAATAAATGAATTTCATGGTGCATTCTAAAGGTACAAGAGTAAAATCCTTCCACTTAAAATATTAGACTTATGTAATTATGACTTCAAGTGCTAACGGACTAAATTAAAATGTTCTCATTCGGTGGCTTTCAAAGGGCCACCAGGGTGCTGTTGGGTAATGGCCGGAGTGCCTGAACTGAACGGCTTATTGCTTTTTCTTTTAATGGATAAAATAATTAAATAATAAAACAATGGAAGGTATAATAATTAGCCCCAATTCCAAATTCAGCCTCAAAAGAGCTTACAACCTTCTTAATGACTTATTTAGTTATTTACTAAAAGACAAAGCAACAAATCATTCAGTTCATCCACTTCAGCTGTTATCAAACTGCCCCAAGTAATTTTCCCGATATAAAACACCAAAAACAAATTGGGAACTTCAAACATAAGAAAAATCAAAGCAAGCAGCTCAGTAAATGTGTACCGGAAATACTAGTATAACATAGATTAAAGGCAAAAATATAAATGACAAAATAATAAATTTAAGATAAGGAAAAATGATATAATAGTAAAAACGACTGAGACATATCCTAGCACCTGTAAGATGGATAACCGGTCAAAGTCCCGCCGGTGGGATAAGTCCTCGCAGAAGATGACTGCCCAAGTTGAGAAGTTTGGTAAGATTGTAGACCCTGCAATGCTGACGCAGAACCATACGCCCCAAGCAACGAAGCGCTGCCACTCAAACTACCCAACCCATGTGATGATGCATCATACCCCCCTAGTCCCACTGCATTCCCTAAGGAAGTCCCCGCCACTTGAGCGGATGGTACAACAGCAGGATTCAAAGCCCCTGCCACCAACGGATTGATAGAGCCTCCAACCAACCCGGCTGTGGGGTTTCCAAGCAACCCGCCATACAAAGGATTAAGAGAAGGATGTTGGCTGAACAGAGCCAAGTTCTGGGCAGCTGCAACAGCAGCCAATACTGGGGCCTGCACGGCCTGTGCTGCAGGCTTATTCTTGTTCTCGATTGCCCTCTGACAATGTAATTGATGTCCCTCAAACATTTTGTAAGGTTCCTCGAGCGCCTTCCTTGCTCCCTCTTGCGTTTTATAGACAAACATAGCAAATCCCCTTGATTTTCCAGTAAGTAAGTCGAACCCCAAGGGCCCATTCTCAATCTCGCCAAACTTGGCAAAGAACGCCCGAAGCTTCTCCGGGTCGGCATCGGAATGAACATTGCTGATATAAATCTTCCGACCTGTTGTATCCTGAGTCTGCTGCGAAGTAACGGGACCAACGGAAGCTAATTGACATGATGTAACGCGATTATTGATCTTCTTTTGCGGTTGCTTCAGTGCATTCGTTGCGCCCGCCCGAGACGTAAATAGAACGAAGCCGTAACCCTTGGCCTTACCAGTGGCTCGATCCATGACGACGTTACAGTCCTCGATCTCACCGAACGGCTGGAACGCAGAAATGAGGGTTTCACGGGTGGTGTCCCAGCCGAGACCATGAACGAAGATTTTGCGATGTGAAACGTCACAATCGGCAATAGAGCGAATTCGTTGGAGAAGAGAAGCATCTTTAACTGCAGCGTCGCAGATAAATTCGATCAACTGGTCTTTCGTGTATGGTTCTAGCAATTTCTGAACCTTCTCGGAATCTGGTTCAGGTTCCGACGATGCACTATCGGAATCATCCTCGTTTACGGCAGCTGGAGCTTTCTCGGGCTCATTTTTGTTTCCAGCTTTGTTCTCTGATTTCTTCGCAAGCTTTCTCCTCTTGTTCTTGTTTCTGGCCATGGTGTCTGTGCTCAGATAAATGGAAGGGAAGGGGGAAAGTTGGTGGTTTTACAGAGGGAACGACCAACTAGGGTTTGCGATTAGGTTCTTGTACGGCGTTGTTGAATATCCCGCTATATCTCTTCCGCCCGGTGAAGTCATCGATGGCTGGAAAGCCTAAAACCATTAGATTGGAACCTTTTTCGGTTGGAAATTGACGAGGTGTTTGGTTCATTTAAAAATCTAACCAGCAAATGTGCACGTGAATTTTAAATGATTATGATGATAGAAATAATATGTAATGTGTTTTCAAACATTTTTATATATTCGTGTATAAAAATTAATTCTTATTTATTATATTTATTTCTTAATATGATTAATATAAAATATATTTTTCATAATTTTTTGTGATATTTATCTTTTTCAATTTTATCATTTTATAGTGATATCAATAGTTGTCACATTTGGTCCCAAAAGGTTGAATTGTTGATCCAATGTCAAATAAGAAAATAATTTCATTTTCTAAGCCAGCTTTAAATTTTATATCTAAATTCCAACATCAATAAGAACAATCATTAGTTATCACACTTGTTTTTCTTTAATATGATTAATATGAAATATTAGAGACAAGTCTTACAGCTTAATTCTATTTTAAAAATAATTGATATAAAAATTATTGTAGATGTGCCCAATTTTATTATTCTTTATTTTTTTCGATCTTGTATATTTGTTTCTACACTTTAAAAGTTTTATTATTTGCCTGTGACAATATAGGAACCCATTTGACTTCGATGGCCATATTACTTACATTATTTTAGACAACAATATGATTCAATGAAATATAACGAGAGTTGATAGTTTAAATATCAACGGTGACAGAAATAGTTCAAAATACATTTTGTGCCCTTATAATTAGAAATTGACTAAATTAAAAAGTTTCACACTCTTATCTACACTTTTAATAATAGTATAAATATAGATAGATATTTTCTAAAAGTAGCATTCATCTTCTAATGCTCTCTTAATTTCTTGTCTACTTACTTATTGCCTCTCCACTGCTTTGACCTTTGAAAATACCTCCCTTTACATTTTAAATAATTATGCAAATGCACTTCTTCCATTAATCATCTTGTACAAAAAACATTAAAAATGTGACTATGCCATTGCTATGAATGTACATGGTGAACATCATTATTCTCTTTTTAAGCCAACTTAGCCAGGTTGAAGTAAACAATGAAGCCCAATTAACTTCCTCCACAATGAAAATGCCTTGTGGGTAGGGATGTAGGTAGGAGATTCGAGTTCCACTTAACAAAAGGGAGGCACTTTCTCTTCACAATGAAAATTTTCATGGGCACTAATGAAATTTTAAAGAATTACCCTACATTTTTCTATAATGGCAATTAATAGAAGGGGTGTGTTGTCACATTTATTTGAAACATGAATAAGAGGTTTTTGTGCATAGGCGAGGTTTAAATATTTGCCAGAAAACACAATATTGGAGGTTTAATGTGATATTTGGTACCATTGTCATTATTTTATGAGAAAAAGTTGCCACATATGTGCTAACTCAACCCTTTTTTGCATAACATAGTCCCATCTTCTATTTAGTAAGCCATTTTCCAAAAAAACAAAATCACATTGAAACTCGAGAAAAACAATTTATGTGAAACAAGCTCTATGATGTTTCTTGCTATATTTGCAACATTTTGATGACATGGCACTGATATAGCTGCAATATTATGTCGTTTTCTAAGAAAGTGGTGATAAATCATGTCTCAACTAATAGAGAAAACATGTACAATGTTGCTGCATTTCCTTAGGCTCAATTTGAAAAAAGTATAAATACAAATTTGTAGAGTACAAAATCTTGTATTTTGTATTATTTTATATGTATTTGCGTTGTACATATTTATATTTGTACTCTTTCCAAACTGAACCTTAAGTGGCAACAACACTACCGAACAAAATATATCATTTTTTGATACCGATGCATGGACATTTTTTGAAAAAACGCTTCTCCGGAAACAACAATGGTACTGAACGCCACCAAAGTAGTTTCCCCTTTAAAATATGGTGATAAACTCAAAATATGAATTTGTGTGGTCATATTGATAGCCAATATATAAATGAAAAACTTTCTTTTGGGATGCATTTGTTTCAACTTAAAATGGATATGAAACTTTTCAAGTTGAAATATTTGAATTATATTTTCTATGGAAAACTTTTTCTTGTCATTTATATCAAAACAAATTGATATAGGTTTTGTTTGGTTTGAAGGAAAAAGTAGGGATTCTCTATCTTTCCCTTCCTTTCCCTACCATTTCCTTCAAACCAAACATAACCATAATGTTAAAAGAACAAATTTTAGCTTGGGAAATTTCACATTCATCTCATATATGCAAGGGTAATCATTTCTAGCCTAGTCTATCCAAGCCCATAAATTTCTAGACTGACTAAATTATAATATATATATATATATATATATATATATATATTAAATACAATATATTCAAAGTTTTAGGGCCTAACCCAATTTGGCCCATGCCCATGTAGGGCCAAGGCCTTAGCATGGGATTAGACTTGTTCATGGGTCAGGTGGCCCAACGGGCCGGCCCGGCCCCCTAACGGGCTTGAATAGGTATATAGGCCCGCGGGCTTAACCTCAGGCCAAAAAGCCCGGCCTGCAATAAATTCGAGCCAGGCTCAGGATTTGTCAAAATAGCCCGACCCGACCCGACCTATAACTAAACCTAAAAACCCTAGTTGAATACCCCTCTTTCCCTTCTTTTTCCAACCGAATTCTTCTTCTCCACATCCTCTTTCCCTTTTTTATATTCTTTTTTTAATATAAATAAATTTTGAATTTATATATTTTTTTAATGTAAATAAATTCTGATTTATATTGATTATTGAATAGGGAAAAATTCTATTTTTTTTATTAGGTCAGGCTTCGGGCTCGGGCTCGAGCTTCGGGCTTTTTATTAGGGCCAGGCTCGGACCCAAGTTGTAGGCCTGTTGGTCGGGCCGGGCTCGCGCTCAGGCCTAACATATTTCTGTTAATGAAGAGTAAAAGCCCAGCCCGAGCCCGACCCGGCGCGGCCCACGAACAGGTCTACATGGGATATGTCCCCTTAATATGAGATCACATCTCTGCCACAGAAGGAGTCATCCCACAACGCCCCACAACACATCTCCGCCGTGTATTGGAAACATTTCTCGATGATGATATCATCGGGACTGATACTATCATCAGAAGATGTTCCCAATACACGGTGGGGATGTGCTGTGGGGCGGAGATATAAACTCCCTTAATATAGGAGTTGACCCTTGTCAACCCTATCCAACACAACCCATGGTCGCCCCTCGTCATGCCTTTAAGGTACCTACGGTAAACATGAAGAAAGTGAATAGAATACAAAGAAAATTTCTTTGGTGTAAAAATTCAGCAGGAAAAGAATTCCCCTTTGTTAAATGGAAGAAAGTTTTTAAGACTACTAATGAGGGAGGATTAGGAATTAGGGACATGGAGAAAACCAATGCAATTAATATTTCAAACCAGGGTGGATAATCTCCTTTGGAGATAATAATTTGTAGGTGGAGGTAATGAGAAAGAAAATGCCAAAAGTAAAAATTTTAGGGATATCAAACCTATGAATAATACTTCATGGGAGTGGAGAGAAATATTATGTTATGGGAAATAATCAAGGAAGGAATTTGTTGTGAGCTAGGAGTAATGCATCATGGACCTGGAAAGGAATATTAGGTGTTAAGGAAGTAATTAGAAGAAGAATTTGTTGTGAGCTAGGAAATGAAAAAAAAAAAAAAAAACATAAACAATCTCCATGATTCATGGTTGGACTTGGGCCCTATTATTCATCAAATCAAACATGAAGATATCAACAGTACAAGATTATGCTTCAAAATGAGTGATATTATGTCTTAAAGATATCAACGAGCCACCAATAGAGGAGTGGCTTATTGGTATATTAGCTGATTCGCTCTAGCATTGAGGCTGAATCGAATCCCACAACCACCAATTTGGGGAAGGGGTAAACTTGAAAATATAAAAACTTGAAGTGTTAAGGGATTGGGTTCCAAAATGGAGCATTAATGAGATTAGGACAATAGGGCTCTATGCCCTAAGAAGATAAATTAAGATGGAAGTTGAATCCAAATGGAAGGTTTTCTATTAGCTCAACTTATAGGGCTCTATACCACGACCAAGAATTAAACAATGGGAAAATTTTTTTATGTTGTTGGCCTTAGAAAGAAAACTTCGTCCAAAACCTTCTTAGATGAAAGTGAAATTGATAGTTAGGGGTCTAAAAGAGGGAACTACTTAGTTCCTAATTGATAATGTAGAGATTATCTATCAATGGTGGTGTAAACCATAAAGTAGAGGAAAAAATCCATACATTTATGTCTTAATTATGGGGAAAATAAGCTTCCTATGTTGGTTTATATGGAAAATATATGCAATAAAATATTTCAAAATAAATATGGAAATCCCAAAAAAAAAAGAATTGTAGAAATTACCATCAAGGCATTATTGATTATGTCACCATAAATTCCAGATCTCCAATTGGGGAAGTTAGAAACCTATATTATTGGGTCAAGTTGAATCTTCCAAGAAAAGGAACTCTAAAAATCAATTTTGATGCCATCCAAAAATGCAAATGGTTTGTGTTCATTTGGATGTATAGCAAGGAACTTCACAGGTCAATTGCTAATTTCAAAAGTAAGTTTGCTTGGTATCTCCTGTATCAATGTGGCAGAATGTTGGGCAGCTGTGGAATAACTCAAAGTGGGTTCAACAACATTTGGATGGGAGACTTAAAAGATCATTGTGGACTGCCTCCGCAATATATAGTGATTTTCCACCTTAGGCTATGTTTGGTTTGAAGGAAAAGGTAGGGAAACCTTCACAAACCATGTATAGGTTTCCCTACCTTTCCCTGCATTTTCCTTCAAATCAAACATACCCTTAGAGTTTGATTCATGACTGCAGAAGCATAAGGGAGAGCATGTCATTATGAATAGCCTATTCACATATGTGGAGAGAAGGCAACCAAGTGGCGGATTGGCTGGCAAATTTGGGTCAAATGTTTTTTTTTTGATTTTGTTAATGGGTTTCATAGGGATT